AGGCAGCGCCATCAGGAAGGCGCCGACTGAACGGTGATGTTGACACAGATGCTGTGATACACCATACGCACTAAGCTTTACATTTATGCGGTAGAAGTCAAAGCATTATCAGTCATTCCACTGGTATGGAGTGGTGAGGCGCGAGGGAAACACCTCGAGCTCAATGTTGTGATCTAATTGGCGTCGCCGGAATACCTTTACTCTGTAAAACGTTGCTCTTGACTTAGCGGTCACTTACATGATCCTGTTCACAATGAAAAGTAAGAATACGCATGGATTATGATGTTTGCGTTTCGCTGTTTGATTTCGGAGAATCCTTTCGAGTCGTCCTCCCTGGAAAGAGAACTTAAAAAGACTGGGGCTACTGGTGCCAGCGGATCGAGGAGGTCGCACACCTGTCCCTCCGCCGGCAAATGGCACGACTGCCTAGAACGTGCGGGTCTGGACTGGCCTATAAATACGGCACGGGAGCACGACCGGCGTCAGTGACGTGCTGGCGCCCGGCCCGACAGATGGCGGTGTTCGGGGTGGTCGCATGGCCGCGCGATTCTCAGCGGCGCCCGCCACTGCCGCCGCCTCGCCGGCGCCGCTCGCCGTCCCCAGAGTGTCGGTCGAGGGCCCGCCGCGGCCCGCCGCCGGAGACGGGCCCTCGCTGGTCCGCGTGCCGGTCCCGTTCTCTGGGCCCGCCGCCGGGCCGGCGGACCACGCCGCAGGAGCCGGCGCTGGAGGCCCCGGCGCCGGCCGGCGTCGGCTGGCCGCCTCCGTCAGACGAGGGAGCTGAGCTGCAGGGCGCGGCGCCGCCCTGCTACATCCCGCAGCCGATGCGGCTGCTGGCGCCGCGGAGCGGGCCGGACTGCGCGTATCCCCGGCCGGCGCCGCACCCCTGGCACCAGCGGCCCCCGCGGCCGAGCGGCGGCACCCGGGCCCGGCTCTGGGAGCACCGCGCCCAGCAGCAGTCGGTGACGTGCTGGGACGTCCGCTCGGCCGCCTTCTGAAGCCTGCATGGGGACGGACTATCCATCTGCAGACGGTACCTATACCGAGCACCACGGTACCTCGGTGAGATCCGTTCGAACGTGCAAGGATTTCGACGGATTTTTCGTAAACTCCGCGACTCTAGAGTGGTTAAGTGTAGACGCAGTGCTCATCGCAACTTCTGCCAAGGTGTGTTTTACAACGAGTCCACGAGAGGTAGCACAATGTCAGCTTCACCAGATGCCGTCAGAGCTTATGCGGCAGTGCCCATGACAGGAATAGGTACCTACTATCGAAGCCGCTCAGCTCTTTAGCAAGCTGCTCCGTGGCTGCATGCAAGGCACACGCAAGCCAGAAGTTGTTTGTTTGTCTGGTGTTGGAAATGGAGCATCGATGCTGTATACTAGGAATATTTGTCATCCCCTGCACGCTGACTGAACGCCAGCTTTTATTCATTTTTCACGTCCTTGTGATCATGCAAACGTTTTGCCATCCTTTTTTCTCAACAGAGTCACCTGTTTGTTTTTGGTGTTGCGAGTATAGCCGCCATGTGTATGTGTAATTTTCACAAACATAAGTTATGCGATTTTTTAGATCAGCATTTGTGTTTGCTTTTCATCAGGCTAAACATTTAGATATATGCCATTTTTGTCAGATCAGTAAGACTAGATCAGTTTTGGGCATATCATTTTTATACCTTATTAAGAAGTGTTTGTACTGCATGATTGTCTAACGTTTAGTTTTGCGTGTCGTGCAGAATTTGTTTATACTGCGTGAATAAATGGTGCTTCTAATCATTGGAGTTGTCACGACCGCATATGGAGGCGTTCTGAACGTGGGTAGGAAGATAAGAGGTAAGTTTAAGTGAATTTAATTACAACCTGCAACTGAAAGCTAACATCATATCATACCCTGGATGCCATGGTATGATACGATGGGTACATGGCTACACCGGATATATGACGAGGTGTTGACCTAAGGCGCTTGTTAACACGCGCTCGGGCGAGGGTCAGTTCAATCCTTCCGAGTTTTTTTCCAGCATATATTCCGAACGGTGGGGCGCACCAAGCTTTGTATAGATCAAGACAATTTGATAGCCCACCTGTTGGTATTAAACACATATATTCTCCGTAAAGTTACCGACCTTAAGGAGGTCGAAGTCAGTTCCTAACTCTCAGTGAAAACAAGTCCAAAGGAATTTTTCAAGCTCGTGCGACAAAGGAGTGAAGAGGAAGTCGTGCAACTGCGAAATGGGTTCTTACTCAAGTACACAATTTGATAGGTTCCTAGGTAGTTGAAATAAGGCTTGAGACTTATTGCTCCGACCTTAAGTGAGGTTTAAAGGTCACACAATGGTCAAACCCAAACTGCTTTTGGTCTGAAAACTTGTTCTGTGGGTGCGCGATTTTTGGACCTCATCTTGGATTTCTGGATCAAAAGGACGATAACTAATTCCTGTTTTTAAGCTCATGAAGGTTATGTTATGAAGACATGCCGCCCAGCGTTGTTGCTGACGCTGATTGTAAATTTTTAGCTATCAAAATCATATTAAGGAATTTCGGTAATTTTGAGTTCTTAGATCTCAGGTTCGGTGACTTACCTGACAATAACACGCCTTTTTTGCTTAGAGGAGATATCTAGGTAAAAGCTAGTTTGGTGAGGGGGTCCTGGGGCGCTACGGTCATCGATTTCGACTTTGATTTTATTCAATCTTATTTGACCCAAAGATCACAACCTACAGACAAAAGTTTGACGCCAATGAGCTTATGTATAGCCCTGAGCACCTTGTGAATTTGGTTTCCTCGCTTCCTTAGTTTTGAGATTTCAGAGAGTCCAATTTCCGTCACCCCTTCTCACCACTTACGTGATGGCGTGCCACCCTTTCAGAAATCCTGAATGGTTGATAAAAATGTTGACACAAGTGAAGTTTCATCATTACTGTGTTGCATGCACTACCCACAAAAGCGCTGCGGTTGTCCAGCTTGGTCCTATTCACTTGTTATGCTCTGCGTACACTGGCCGCTCTCCTAACTCGAGCTGTTACGGCTTCGGCTGTAGTCGATTTGATGTCAGCATATAAACGAAGTCCTGCGCGAAAAGCGTCCTTAAAGGGAATGTTCCACATTTGGAGATATGAAGCAAGCATGAGATATGATGAAATAAGCCCCTTCATGATAATTGGTATACTTTTAAGTAGAAATGGCTACTTAAAAAAACAGTTTCTATTTTTAGTAAATATACTTTTCAACACGTCATTGTTTGATTGCGTCATTGTACTTTGCAGAACACTAATCAGGAGGCACTGGACGGTCGTTATAATTTGATATCGTGCTCATGCGTACCAGTTTTGAACGACTCAACAATGTTTTTTTATTGGCCTTGACCGCCGCATGGCCAACGGAATAGCAGGATATGAGTGACGTCATTAAGGCGTCGTGGATGCCTGGTTGACCTTGAAATCATCCCAAAAATATTCTGCGCATCTTCGCGGTTTGAGTAGCTCAGCCCCTTAAAGGGTTTAGTGCTTAAGAAGGGCAAGGCTGTGAACTGCACCGAATGATCGTCATGATGACTATTTCAATCTAAAACCCCACGCAAATGTGGAGCACTCCCTTTAATCATTTCATCATTTTCGATCACGTACCACCAAGCGCTGCTCGCGGAAATATAGAGATCAAACGTAACCGTAGATGCTGGGCCAGGGAGCCCATGCCACCGATCTCCAGAAGTGCCAGACCCCGCGCCGGTTCAAAGGCGCGCCGGACGCCTCGCCAGATCAGATGTGATGGCTGCGCGCGGCGCCAGCTGTCCGCTGTCGGGTCGTGTCGCTGACCGGAGCCGAGCGAGGGTAGACGGCCCCTGACGCCATCGCAAGGCCACTACGCCTGATGCCATCATGGGATCACTTCACCTGACGCCATCATGAAACCACTGCATCTGATACCATCATGAAACCACTGCACCTGGCGCCATCATGGGGTCACTCCGCCTGACGCCATCATGAAACCACTGCACCTGGCGCCATCGCGAGGCCACTATACCTGATGCCATCATGGGGTCACTTCACCTGATGCCATCATGATGCGACTACACCTGGCGCCATCATGAGGCCACTACACCTGATACCATCGTGAGGGCACTGCACCGATCATAGGAATGAGGTCGTCACGGCAACCGTCGTACTTGAGATCTAAATAATAGCATATTGATAATATGCAAATACCTTTTTGAATTTTGAATGACGGAAGTTGTGCATCGCCAACCTAGGAACATCTTTTATTACGGAGAATACAAATATTCCTATCTTTATTTGAATTCGTTAAAATTCATTCAACTGGAAACACTTAACTCTGAAGTCCGAAGTATACAAGCGTTGTTCGGCAGTTGTTGTGTTAATGTTCTGTCATGTTCGTGTCACATGTGCTTCAGAAGTACCCCGTTACGTAATTGTATTGTCAGACGTCGTGAGTGCCGTGGTTACTCCAGTGCGGTGATGAAATAAAGTTTGCAGCCTTCGAGATCACATTTGAACTGAAATACTGCATTGATGCATTTTGGTGTGTCGGGGTTCTCAGGTGTGTTTCTCATAAAATTCGACATTTTCTTATTGAGATAATAAATGACTCAGAAGGCTATACAGCACAAATATTTTCGTTTGTTAACAAAGTCTTGTCTGGCTTATCTCTTTTCATCCCGTTTAGCAGCTTCCGGAGTAGCTAACTGAAGCTATAGGTCCTGGATGATGCGGTGAAGGCTAGATTTGGTACGCCCTCGCCGCAGGCAATCTACGCCAGCGTGCTGTCTGCCGCCAGACTCAGGGCCATGACGGAGACGTTCCCTCAACTTCGGCGATGTTTTCACCTGATCCGCAATCTTGGGGCGACGGCTTCAGGGTTTGCGTTCCGAGCGCCGGTGAAACCAATCCTGGGGATGCGAGTATCGTGCCTTCTCACTGTCCAGCCTTTCTCTGGAAGTTCTAGCCAAAACGTTGGTTTTTGCCTTCTGAGATTGCGTTGTTTCCACAGACATCCAGGAGTTCTACGAGCTGACGCTGTTGGACGACTGCCAAAATACGCTGCAACAAAACAACGCTGAAACGATCCTGGCGGCCACCAAATGGGACGCAGACCTGGCTTCCGTTGGGTCCATCGCCGACCAGGTCAGTTCTGGCACGTTGCGAGGCTGATGACATGTCTATATTCATGCATCGAAACGCTTGAACGCCTTTTTTACGATGTCCGTTGATGGGTACAGGATCGGTATGGATGGGTACAGGATGGGCATGCTTCAGTGGAAATCACGCGGACTTCGGTGGTCTTTTCTCTGGCACCGACCTATTCCCACGATCGATGCTGTCAGACGGTTGTTGGAGGAACCCTTACTTCGTGGAAATGCCGTTTGATGGCGCTCTGCTGGCACATCGAGGCGACTCCATCGCTAGCTTTTGACAACTGCTGGTGTGCTGTGCCTTCAGGGTCGCACGCGGGATTTTACAATGTTGTATGCATGCGTGTGTGTTGGGGAGGGAGAGGGCACATCTAGAAGTCATCGCTGAAACTTAAGTTTAGCGCGCTACACGGAGTGCATTTTTTTGCGTGTCTCAGAACACCACACGTTCTCGACTTTCTCATTTTTGCATGTGCCCCTGGAACCTATAACATGCAACCACGTTCATATTACGACATGCCATAAGTTTGGTAAAGAGCGGAGAGACACGCGCCCCGTAAGGTCTCGGCGTGCGTTCGCCGCTGGCTGACTTGTATTGTTTTCACCTGCTACTTAAAAGGCGGTTTACATTCACGTTTGTAGATGAACAGCACTAAGTCGAAATGTTATCGGATATTTGCAATCGCATACCATCGAAAAAAGGTTTGCTCTGGATGCAGAAAACTATATTCGCGTCATTTTGCCATCCACATTGACGGGTTTGTTTTTTGACGTCGCTTACGGTTTTCCAAATATTTTCTCGATGGTGCAGGTGGCCACAACTGGCAGGTAATAAATCGCATAATGTCCCGAGGTTTTGTGTGCATGTTGAGATCTAGTCTTCGAAGCCAAACTGACAACCAAATACCTGCATTGCCGACTGATTGAAGATGACTTGATTATACGGCATAGCTAGCGCGCTGTGGAAGGCTAACAATGGTTTGCATATGAACTGGTTAATAACCGCTTAGAAATCCTGCAATATGTACTATTGTCAGGATCTGAAGCAAGCAGGATTCAGAAGTCTCACATACTCGGCCAGACAAGTGGCTGCCGGACAGGATGGTGTCCGGAGTTTACGCTCGGCATGCTCTCGGCCGTGTCAGCTGAATGTGCGCCACATTGCCGAGAAGGGGGGGGGGGGGGGGCTGTGCGGACCTCGATCGCCGGTCTCCGCTCTGTGAAGACCTGTCAGCCCAGGCCACTGTTCCGAACCACCCGACCAGGTAGCCAACGGGCCCGCGCTCGCGACTGTCGCGGTCTCAAGCGCCACCGGTCGGCCCCCACCAGTACCCGTCGTAGCAGACAGGCGGGCCGCCGGCGCTGTCACCGTGGAGCCCCGCAAGCGCTGCGTCAGGCGGCGCGGTCACCGTGGAGCTGATCCGCCGGACAGCTCGGGATTGGGAAGCGTGGCCCAGTTTGCCGGAGGTCGCTCTCGTTAGCAGGCCTGAGGTCATACGGTCCGGGCGGCAGGGAACGGCAGGTCGCGGGTTCCTTTGACATGAGTCATGAGACAATCAGGGGAGCCCTAACAACGTCCAGGATTGCAGCGTCCAGTGTTCATATCGTCCAGGATCCCAGCATCCAGCGTTCATAAAGTCCAGAAAACGTCCAATCCCGTGCCCATTGGGGGCGTTCATAAGGTCCAGGGACGAAAAGTCCAGAGTCGCAAAGTCCAGAGTCGTAAGTCCAGTGTTCAAAGCGTCCAGTGTGCATCGCAACCAGGCTAGTTTGGATTCCTGTCGCCAGATAACACTACAAAAGCCTTTTTGAGTCCTGCCGTTATTTCCCTCTTTTGTCAGATGGCACAGCCAACCTGACATTCCACTGATGATCACGTGATGCATACAGTCAAACATGGTTTCTATAAATTACCTAGACGCCTGGCGGCCGTGTCCGGCCTGGGTGCGGCCGCACCCCGGGGCTTAACGGCGGACTGAACGCAGATGCGCCGGGCGGCGGAGCGGCCGGAGGCATGGCGGGCGGCACGGGCTCGGCAGGGACCGCTGCGCCCGCGGGGTAAGCCGGCTCTCCCGCCCCGCGGCTGCTGCCTGGGCCCCAAATGCCGGGGTACACTCGGTTGCTCAGGGGCCCTTCATATTGGTATCGGGTTCTTTCCACTTGCTTGGAGGACCCCGTGCTGTTGCCGGGGCCCCACATAAGGTAACGATCCGAGGTACTCGATGCTCAGGGGCTCTCTTCATTGACCTATGGCTCTTTCCCTTTTGAGCTTATTTGCTGAGGACCCTTCACTTGTCAGAGCTCTATCTCTCTGTTAACCAGCCCGGGCACTCTTGATCACACAGGGGCGTTAATTCATGTACCCCTGATTTTCGGCAAGTGCCCTTTGTTCAGGGGATCCTGTACTCCGGCCGGACCCTATATGTTAGCCTGCCGGGGTGCTCCCGATCGTTCAGGGGTCCCATCATATTGGTGTTAGGTTCTGCTCGCTTGTTATGAGGACCCTTCACTGTCCACTGGAGCCTCTTTGTTGACCTGCCACGGCAGTTTTGATTACTCAAGTGCCGTCTCGTTGTTGGTCTCGGGTTTTTCCATATTATAGGAGTGTCTACGCCATTGACAGGGACCTAAAGCTTAATCATTTTTATTGGGGCTTTACTTCTAACCGACTGATGACTGAATTTACGGCTATGGCGATTACGCCGATGAATTCATTATTTTCATTGTCGAACATAATTTTGCACGCCGCCGATGTCGTGCATCTTGTTTCCATTCTTTATTGAATTTGTGACGCTTAATAGACCTGTGCGTTACACTTTCATATATTTTTAAGGACGATATTCTGCATTCCCTTGCAACAGACAAGGCAAAAACTCTGTAGTAGCCCTCAGCCATCAGCTGATCTCATCAACTACCCGGCTAACCGTGTATAAGCTAGGAGTCAAGCTTGTGCTTGATTTTGATGGTATTTAGCAACCAATTTAAGTGTATGCTGCCATGTATTCTTCGAAATACTGAGCCTTAAAATGACAAAATCCACCACGATTCCACGAAGATGAACAAGCTCCCTGTATCTGCACACAAATCACGCCTAGTTTTCTAGGGCTGTGCGTAGTAAGCTAGGTTCCCGTACACGAACGGTATACACAAAAATATTAAAACTTAATGGCCGGAATACGAGGATATTTGGTGGATACAGCTCTGGAGTCCAAAGAGCTCACAAAGTAGGAGGGCTTCTCCATTTGTCTAGCATTTTCAAAGTGTTCATGTGTGGAGGTTTAGTTACCGTGAACTTTACTGCTTCCGATCACTCCGATATGGTGTCGTGTTAGTTCTGGCCGGTGCTTTCGACGGAATCGCACATAACGTTTAATAATGATATATATATATATATATATATATATGTATATATGCTTTTATGACGACAGACACATGAAGCTCACAGAACTTGCACGGAATATGACTGGTGAATGCCTCTTCTATAAATCCGGCTGTTCATTTCATTTCGGCACCCTAACCAGTTTGAATCAGGGTATAAAACACGAGTATGCAAACCAATAATACACTTTTCACCGGACAACACTCATTGCCGTTTTGACCTGGCAACAACAAACAATTCTGTAGCCGTGCAGAAGATATCATAAGCACCACACACCGTAAATAACGCAATCAGCACAGCAAATCAGAACACTGCATGCCAATTACCCAATACCCGCGCCATTCATCAGTGTCTTGTTCCTTGTTGTTCTATTCAACAAGGAACGAGACACGGATGATTTCATCAGTTCATCAGATCATTCATCAGAGCCATTCATCAGTGTCTTGTTCCTGTTCCATCCAGAATGTTGAGTTTCATTGTTTTGTGTGCAGATGCTAAAATTGCAGTGTTTTGTATAAGCGCTCGGCGTGCGAGGAGAGTATTGTGGTCGGGCTGTACGTGATTCCTTGGTGCCCCCTCCGTGAGGTGCTCTGTGAGATCTCGGAACAAAAATGTTGTAGTTACACCATTGTAGCATGCGGAACCTTGCAGCAACACCTGGCAGCGGTCAACAGACGGGTGGAAATGGCCACGTATCGAGATCGGTACTTTCCAGCACTTTGTGAAGTCAATGGGTATGCGTGTAAAAGGTGTCCCCTCGCCGGTTGTTTCACTAGTACAATTTTTAGATTGGTAGTCGGGACGCATTACGGGAAGGCGCAATGGGAAGGCGCAATGACGCAATCTCTCCTGCTCGTAATGCTGCAACTGCTGAACCCGCGCAGAGAATCAACTGGTGTCAGCCAACTAAATCGCGTTGGTAAAACGTTCTGGTCAGCAGCTGAAGGCATTACGTCCCATCCGGGGCCCCCCAGTGGCTTTTAGTCTAGTGATAGCCCCCAGGACCGTACGGAGGCCTTCATAGGGAAGGATGCATCAAGACCGGTCCCCTCCTCGATGCGGCTGGTCCTCTAACTGAGACATCCAGCAATGGATCGGCGCAGGGACCTTCGCTGATGCAGACTACCGGCACAGGAAGTCCAATAACTGGCATCGAGACAATAATTAGCCTTATCGGTCCCTGGTTGAAATGGCGCAGAAGATACTTCGTCCGGTTCTGGTGTTCCTGGCTGACACAGGCCTCTCCACTGTCTCATTGTACATGAGAATCCCCTGTTTCAATTCTCATGAATCCTTTCATTGTTAGGAGGGTCCAGAACAGCACAATAGGCTCTTTGACATATGGGGGCCCATCGTCGTCCGTATTCAGCAAATGTGCTCCTGGTTGGGGCTCATTGCCGACACATGGCCTCTTGCTAGGGACTGTTGTCACTGACCAACAATGTGGGTCCTTCATTGTTTCAGGTGTACCGACGAATGTAGGATGCCTTCTAATTGGCATATGGAGATCTTGGCCTTGTCTCTGCTCGGAAAATACTCGCTACGCCCCAGAATAGCACTGAACGGACTGTTCGATATGGCTTTTCTCAGTCAGTTGCCTCAAACAGAGACAC